TACTCTACATGTGTAATATGAGAGAGGTGGTCTAAATTCATTTCTAACCTCTTAATACAAAGGGAGATTCAGGATAGGATATGCATCCTCAATGAAATTTCTGATCTGTGAAAGAAAAGTGAAGCAAAAATGCCAAGGTGAACTGGAATGTGAGGAAACAGGTCCTGATTTAGAATGTCAAAGGCGAAAGAAACTTCTCACTGCCATTCAAAGTTGATTCCTCTTTGTCCTGCCTAAAAATTAACATGATAAATGATCCTCTTCAATGGAATCATGTAGAATCATGGAGTGTGGAGTTGAGTTTTCTGAGGTCAACTAGGGATCACATCTTTAGTTTTTTTTCATGGTGTCTAATTATCTGCAAGCTTTTTGGAAAACAGTTTGAGAGTATTTATGTTAATAAGTCCTAGAGCGTGATCATTGAATTATTAAATATAAGGTAATTTATTCTAAGGCTGTAGGCCTACTATAAGTTAAAAATACTTTGTGCATTAAGATATTTCTTACAAGTTTATTAATTAGAAAACAGTAAAGATATTCTTCTAGAATGATGGGCAAATTAAGACATTCTAAGATGAACGAAAACTAGAATAAATTATTTCCAGCACACTTATCCTAGAATGGTTAATTGAAATTCCATGAAATGGAAAAGGAAAAATGAAAAGAGTAAAAATATGGCTAAATACAATAAAGTTTCCTTATCTTTAATTGTTAACTTATGTCACTGTGCAGACATCAAAATAATAGTAAAAGAATACTAGGAATAACTCTACATACGTACATTTGGTAATTTAGATGAAATGGATCTATTTCTAAAAAAACACTACCACAACTCACCGAATCTGAAATATTATAATTACCCTGTAACTATTAATAAAATTTAATTTGTAATTTAAAAGCATGTAGCATACGAAAACCTACATGTACAAGTATTTTCAATGGACAATTTTCTGAAACATTTGAAGAAGAATTCACACTAATTTAATACAGTTTCTTCCAGAAAAGAGAAAAAGAAGGAACACTACCCAATTCATGAAGCCAGTATTGCCCTAATATTAGAACTAGATAAAGAAAGTAACAAGAAGATAACTACAGGTCAATATTCCTCATGAATTAGAGGCAAAATTCTTAAGATATTTCAAATACAATTCAGCAATATATAAAAATTATATACTATAACCAAGTAAGGTTTATTCTAGAAATGTTAAGCTTGTTTTGTATTTAAAATCCCAACATAGTAATAAGCTAAAGAAGAAAAAAAGTATCATAATAGTTGATGCAGAGAAAGTATTTTGCCGAATTAGGCCGGGCTCGGTCGTTCGCGCCTGTAATCCCAGCCCTTTGGGAGGCCGAGGCGGGCGGATCACGAGGTCAGGAGATCGAGACCATCCTGGCTAACACGGTGAAAACCCGTCTCTACTAAAAATACAAAAAATTAGCTGGGCGTGGTGGCGGCGCCTGTGGTCCCAGCTACTCGGGAGGCTGAGGCAGGAGAATGGCGGGAACCCGGGGGGCGGAGCTTGCAGTGAGCCAAGATGGCGCCGCTCACTCCAGCCTGGGCCACAGAGCGAGACTCCGTCTCAAAAAAAAAAAGAAAGTATTTTGCCAAATTAAACACCCATTTGAAATAAAATGATTCAGGGTAATAAGAACAGCGAGGAATTATCAAGTCTTAATAAAGAAGATCTATTAAAAACTGAAATGTAACAATATACTTAGTGGCTAAAGTCTAAATTCTTTCTTTCTAACTTTGAGAACAAGACAAAGATGTGCACTATCACCATTCTTATTTAACACAGTGCTGGGAATTCTGGCTAATGAAATAAAGCCAAAAATAAATAAAAAGAAAAGGAAATAAGACATAGAGATCAAATGGATAAATAAAACTTTCTCTTTTTAGTTGACATGATTGTATATATAGAATATAGAAAAGACCAAGGAATCTAAACAAAACCCCTCTAGAATTTAATAAATGAGATGAGCAAGGTTGCAGTACACCAGAAAACTATTTAAAAAGCAATTGAATTGTATTTCTATATACTAGTAATGAACAAGTGGTTATTAAAATTAAAAAATATACTATTTATAAACACTTGTTCTCTCCCTCCTTCTCTCTTTCCCTTCCTGCATCCCTCCCTTCATGTTTTTTCTGTCTTAAAAGAAGTAGTAAGATGTAAATCCAATAAAATATGTACGGGAATGTATAATGAAAACTATAAAACACTGATGAAAGGAGAAAATTTTAAGTAAATGGAGATGCATATTGTGTTCATAGATTGGACAACTCAAAGTAATAAAGATATCATTTTTCTCCAAATCAAAAGCTGTTTAAGACAATTCCTATCAAACTCTTGAAAGACATTTTTATAGATGTAGCCACAGAGATTATTTCAAAATTGTATGGTAAGACAGACATTAGACCACTTAAAACAATCTCGTGTAAGTGGAATAAAGTGGGAGGAATCAGTCTCCCCAATTTTTAGTCTCATATAGTTACAGTAATCAAGACTGTATGGTGTCAAAGGATAGACAAATTGATAGAACAGAATAGACAACCCAGAAATAGACGTACACAAATGTCCACGACTAATTTTTGACAAAAGTACGAAAGCATTTCAGTGGAGGAATGATAGACTTTTCAACAAATGATACCAGACCTGTTGGACATCCATAGAAATAAGCTTCAACCTAAATTTTCTACCTTATGCAAAAGTTTACTAAAATAGATTATGGATTAACACGTAAAATGTGAAACTGGAAAAATTTTAGAAAAATAAAACTGGAGAAAATCTTCAGCCGTAGGATTAGTCAAAGAGTTCTTAGACTTGACATAAGAATACTGTCAATATAAGGAAAAATTGATAAATTGGACTACTTCAAGATTGTGATTAAAGTTATTGTTAAGATGATGAAATGACAAGAAGCACAAACTCAGAGAAAATGTTTGCAAAGCGCGTACCCAAAGAGGTCTCAAATCCACAATATATAAATGTGTCAAAACGCCACAGTTAAAATAATCATAAAATGGTGAGAAAACAGAATATATAGATAGATGGCCAATAAGCAGATGGAAATATATTCAACATCATTAGGGAAATGGATATTACGACTACAATGAGACACCACTACATATCTATCAGACTGCTAAACTTAAAATAGTAACTACACCAAATGCTGGGGGAAGATTCAAGAAGACTGGATCATTCTTGGCGTGCGTGTAAAATACTATAATCACTCTGCAAAACAGTGTAGTAGTTTCTTATAAAACCAAATATGCAACTGTCATACATGCCAGCAAGCAGTTGCACTGCTAAGTATGTATTCCAAATAAATTAAAACTTTTTTCACACAAAAACATACACTTAAATGTTCATTGCAACTTTATTCATCATAGCCAGTACCAGAAAACAACCCACTTGTTCTTCAGTATATTAAACAGAGTGTAGTACATCCATATCATGGAGTGCTACTCAGCAATAAAAATGAGTAGACACACAGCTTGAATGAATCTCCAGAGGATTATGTGGAGTAGCAAAAGCTTGTCCCCAAAGGGACATACATATTCCATTTTGTTTAATCCCATTTATGTATCATTCTTGTAGTGACAAAGAAATAGAGAAAAAATTAGTGTTTTCCAGGGTTAAGGGTAGTGGTGAGAAAACAGGAGTGCTTAAGGACAAGAAGAGGATTCCTTCTAGTGATACAATTGTTCTGTATCTTGGCTGTATTGGTGCCAATATCCTGGCTGTGATATTGTACTATAGTTTTCCAGATGTTATTTGGGGAAAATGGGTAAAGTGAACACAGTACCCCTCTGTATCATTTCTCATAACTGCATATACATCTACAGCTTTCTCAAGATCAAAAGGTTAAGAATTTAGGTTTGGCATACAAATTCTAAAGCAGCTGGAAGAAAATATACCCAAGATTAATAATGATTTAAGTATTCCCTCTTGACAGCATTTGGCAGTAGTCTTCATTTTCAAAAACCTATTGACATAGCTAATACGTTTTCAAATAGATTCTTTGTTTTTAAAACAAAACAAAAACCTGTTTTTTTGTTTGTTTGTTTGTTTTTTTCTGAAAAATATCTCATTCTGTAACCTGTACTGGAGTACAGCTCACTGTAGCCTTGAGCTCCTGGGGCCTGGGCTCAAATGATTCTCTCACCTCAGACTCCCAAGTAGCAGGAACACAGGCACATGCCATCACACCTAGCTAATTTTCCTTATTTATTAATTTATTGAGATGGAACGTTACCCTGTCTTCCAGGCCGGAGTGCAATGGCGTGATCTTGGCTCACTGCAACCTCCACCTCCTTGGTTCAAACGATTCTCCTGCCTCAGCCTTCCGAGTAGCTGGGATTACAGGCATGTGCCACCATGCCCGGCTAATTTTTTGTATCTTTAGTAGAGAAGGGTTTTCACCATGTTGGCCAGGCTGGTCTGGATCTCTTGACCTTGTGATCTGCCCGCCTCGGCCTCCCAAAGTGCTGGGATTATGGGCGTGAGCCATGGCGCCGATTTTCCTTATATTTTGTGGAAAAGAAGTCTCAAATTCCTGGGCTCAAGCAATACTCCCCACCCCAGGCCCCGCCTCGGCCTCCCACAGTGTTGGGATTGCAGGCATGAGCCACCATGTCTGGCCTCAAATAGATTCTTAAAAAGCAGCTTGTATTTTAATTTAGTCAAATCAGGGACATCTGCTGCTTATGCAATCACTTAGAACATCAATGCCAATTAAGAATATTTTGATTCAGAACTAATCTTCAATTTCACAGTTCAGAAATTATGATAGGGTTTTTTTCCCCCTTAGATTAGATTGAGCTATAGGGGACACACACTAAATTTGTAGAGAAAGAATTTTAAAAATTGTTGATCTAGTAATATTAGATGAGATCGATGCTTTAAATGTAATTGTGAACCAAGAGTGGTGGTGTGCACCTGTAGTCCCAACTACTTGGGAGGCTGAGGCAGGAGGATCACTTGAGCCCAGGAGTTTCAGGCTGCAGTGAGCCATGATTACACCACTGGACAACAGAGCCAGACCCTAACTCTAAAAAAACAAAAATAGTAACGCAGATTTTGTTCCATAGTTTGTGAATGCAATCAGTAGTTTTAAGGGTTGTGTGTGTGTGCGTGTGTGTGTGTGTACACATTTAGTTTTATTTTAACAAAGCAACTTGTACACTTTCAATGTTTAAAACTGAGCACCATCTTTCCTTTCCAGTGAAACAAAGAGAAAATTTAAAAATAAACAAGAACAGAATTACAGTAGAGAATGTCAATACCAAATAAGATCCTACAGGTTCTGCTGATTCTCCCATTGAGTGGCAGGGCTCAAGTCATCATTAGGAGAGAATTTATTTTAAAAGTGTCATCTTAAACTACAAGGATGTCTGTCAGGTATCACAATTAAACATGCCAAAGGAGAAGCCATATTGTCAAAATGCCCACTTAACCCACCGAGACATCTCAAACTCACCCCTTGCTGACCTTCTAGAAACCTATTTTTCAAGTTTTTTTTTCTTTTTTTAAACAAGAGAAAGTAGACAGATACATATTGGTATATGCTAACTGTCCATATTCACATAGAGACACAGTGTACTCTCTGATTGCAATATACAGAGAAAGGAGGACAAAAGCTAGAATTCTATGCACTACTACCCAGGGGCTTAGCACCCTCCAGCTTCCAGTAGTGTGAAGGGAGCAGGTTTTTTCTTTTTTCCCACAGAGCTTGGTGGTGTTGATTCCATACAGTTTTTGTTCAGACAGGAAGGGATAAAAATGAATTTTGAACAGAAAGGGGTAGAGACTCTTCCCATTGTATTCCGCTCAAGGTATTTTCCCCAAAATAAGTTGAGAAACATGGTGTAGAGAAAAGAGACCTCAAGAAGAGGGTGACTGAGGACAAGAGAAAAAAAAAAAGAGAGAGAGAGAGAGAAAAATAAGACTGCAGCTTGCTCCCAGGGACTGGAGAACATTTTAAAATAGGAAGGTTGGAATCCATCAGTGTTCTATTAGTCATCTTCTCCTTCATCCTCCTCTCCTTCCTCCCTTTCATCATCTTCATCTTCTTCACCTTCATGCTCATCCCCTACTTCATCACTGTCTTCTAATCCTTCCTCCTTTGTGTCACCATCATCATCATCATCATCATCATCATCTTTTTCTCCTTCTCCTTCTTCATCATCCGTATCAGGAACCAAGTAGTACTGTAAAGGGTTTGGCCAGAGACCGTCTTTGATGAACTCTCCTAACTCATCCACACTACGTGCATCAGAATGGTCAGTAAAGCAGGTAAAGAAGCTCTCTGGACCACCTCCTGCTGTGGGACCGAAGGAGACATCTGCTTTGCAGGCTTGCTGAAGAAGGGACAAAAAGAACAGCAAGAAGCAATTGAACACATTGATGAAGTACAAAATGAGAGAGACTTAATGAACAAGCCAGTGAGGAGATTTTGAAAGCAGAATAGAAATGTAACAAACGCCGCTACCCACTTTTTCAGAAGAGGTCAGAATTGATCGCCAAGATCCCAAATTTGGGTGTGACAGCATTTGTCAACCATCCACCAAGTGTTCGCACTGCTTGGGGAGGAGGACGAAGGGGCACTGCATTATTTGACCAGAGTTGAAGTGACAGAATTTGAAGATACTAAAACAGGTTACAGGATAGATTTGTATTTTGATGAAAATCCTTACTTTGAAAATAAAATTCTTCCCAAAGTATTTGATCCCAATGAGAGTGGTGATCTATCTTCAAAGTCCACCAAAATCAAATGGAAATCTGGAAAGTATTTGAGGAAACGTTCAAGTCAAACACAGAATAAAGCCAGCAGGAAGAGGCAATATGAGGAACCAGAGTGCTTCTTTAAGGTGTTTTTTTTTTTTTTAAACGAGCATGGATTTAATACTATAAGAGTGGCTTGATCTTAGTAGATATGTAATCTTGATAAAGTAAATGTCTTATGAACCATTCCTGCCTAAAACGTTCTAATATTCCTATAATTAGAAAGTTTACATTCTTAAACTAGTGTTTGTTCTTCCCACCACTGCTAAATTAGTACTGATTAATGCATATTAGTAAGATTAATAATAGTATTTACTTTTACTAGGCATGATGTCAAAAATACTTTTTTTTCCCAGTATGATTTCTCTTGAGGTTTTTCTTGTGTTTCTTCAATATTTCCTGTTTTTCACAATTCAAAAACTTGTCACGTTGCTTGTGTTTGGATAGTCCCTGACTCTTCATCAAAAAAGCATTTGTAAACTATGTCTTAGTTACAGTTATTTCTTCTACTAACTAATGCTATTCATTATATACTAGTATTTTACTTTGACATGCCCTCTTTATCAATTTGAGAGCTGTCTAATTATAGACAATTCTCATCCTAAAAAATTCAGACTCTAGACTTGGAAAGGGCCTCAATATTATAGTTTAATCTTTAGTCTTTTCTTTAGAATCTGTAACTCACCTTTGCCTTGAATGTCTTCAGAAGATGAAACTGATCTTGTAAGATAGCTCATTTCGTATTTGGACAGGTCTCTCCATTAGAAAATTCTTCTTTATATTGAGTTTAGAATCTGTCTGCCAATTTGTAACCCATGGAAGCTCACAAAGCAGATCCAATAACTTTTCCACATAGTGTGCCTTTGAGTATTATACCCTGGGGCTTCTTCTATTTCCAGAGTGTGTATTTCCATTTTCCTCCAATTGTTTTTCCTATTGCATTACTTGGTTTTGAATTCTTATTTATTAACAAACCTGAATTTGTCTATATCCCTCTTAAATGTGGAATACTGAACTGAATGTAGTATACCAGATGAGTTCTGACTTTTCATATTATATTTTAGTCAGAAATTTCTTAGCCATTGCCCAGTAGAGGAATGCATCCATCACATCCTTGTTTGCTATTTTGTACTTGAAAAGTGCAATCGTGTCAAAATACTTTCAGTGTCTTTAGATTTGGTGCTGTTCTGTCTTCTAGACTCCTATAAATAATTTGTATACAAGGTAGCAGGGAAAAAAAATTACTCTTTAGTGACAATTTTTTTTTTTTGTAACCTGATTTAATCTCCATTGAGAGTACTATAGAGATTACTTTTTTTTTTTTAAGCCTCAGTATATGTCTGGCAAAGTCTTAAAATCAATCATTTAATTTAAATTGGATTTCAAAAGAAGGTCACTAGATTAAATCTCCTGCTGTAGTTCGTGAATGAAGGTTTATGTGAAAGGAGGGAAAGCCGACCACTTTTATGTTTTTAACAGGCTAAATTGGGAACTTGTCAGTGCTCACGATCCAGTTCTTCAAAATTATAAAACTAAACTTGAAAGCACCCTGGTCACCTCTGACCCACTGTGGAACATGGTGTCCACCGTTGAAGAGGAAAGTGGTGCAGTTCTTTTCAGATAGAGCCACCTGCAGGCGCAGGTGTTATCCGCAAGCCTTGGAGCTTCAGAGAGCTGTGATATTTTGTTTCTGCCAGCCATTGTGATGACCGTACCTCTGAAGTTCCTGGGCCATATTCAAACCTTGTCTCTCAAAAGTCACATTAGAAATATATATGCCACTCCCAATTTCTCAAAAATGTTATTCTTTTTCCTGTTTTAATAAGATCATCAACTTTCAAAGAGGTCTTTTCGAATTATGTAGTGTTTATGGATTATGAGAAACCAATGTAGACCTTTTGTTTACGAACATGGACAAAATTTTATTCACAAGAACATATTTGTCTTCAACTGCTTAGTACTCTTTCAACTTTAAAAGAGATACTTTTCGGTTTATTGTAAAACTATTGCCAAAGACTAACAGGTGTCTGTAAAACAAAGGATTCTTGAAATAATTCACTGACTAACATGCTATATCAAAGGTCAAGGGGTAGTATCCTTGGATGGTGATGACTTAGTATTGCTATTGCTCTAGGGAAAATCTCAAAATTTGAACTAATGGGACAGACATGTGACATCATAATAGTTGGAAAAGTAAGATTATTTTGAGAAGACTTTATACTTTAGAGCAATACTAATTTTTGTGTAATCCATTATTTTCTTGACATTTTCACATATTTCTGTGCTTATTGCATTATTTGCTCACATTTATATATTTATTTATTTTGAGTACCCTTTTACTCTTTCTTCCTCATTTATCCCTCCTGTAACTGGCTGTCAATAAATTTCAATCACATTTTTATGTTAGTAACAAGTCTGAGTGCCAAATTTGAGCTATACGAGACTGTTGTGAACAATTTGTATGTTTACAATCTCTAACATCTGCACTAAAATGTTCTAATACTGCAATTCTTTCCAAAGTAGGTTCGACCATTAGCAACCAACAATATCAACAGTGAAACACTTTATGAAGGTATAAATGAAAAAAGAACATTTGTGAATAAGTGGGCTCTAGAAAAGGAAAGTTTAGGAGGATTGCCGTAAAGTCCATGAGCTGCTTGTGACAACATCCAAAGCTTTATTAACTTCATTAATATATCAAAAACAAGCAAAATAACAAAAGAAAGCAAAAAAGCCAAAAAAAAAAAAAAAAAAAAAAAAAAAAGTCCTAGAGAGCAAACATTAGAAAATAAGATTTTAGAAGTCTAGAAATATGTTAACTGTAATCATTGGTATATTTTCCATGTCTGAGAGTAAAATCCGACTTTAAAGTTTTTTTGTTTTTTTTTGTTTTTTTGTCTTTGAGCAGTGTTTTTGAGGGTGGAGAGACAGACAGATGTAGACCAGTGTTCCTGTCCTTCACTTGTTTGCCCAAGTGATTTTGGAAAATCACTTAATATCTGTTTCAGTTTCTTCATTAGTAATTAGAGGATAATAACCCCTTGATGGGGTTCAGGATGTGTCACCCCAAAATTGGCCACGTTGGCATATTGCTGGTGTTGAGTTTTCAGTAAAAGACACTTGAAAAACGGGCACAAGAAGGACACTGTCATCCCCCCTTTTTCTTCCTGAAAGCAGATGTAACATCTATGTAAGGGCTGCCCTCCTTATACCAGGAGGAAAGAAATGTTCTTATCACCAGAGATGGAACTAGAGAATTCTGTACAAACAGACCTTGTTAAAAATAACTCTACTCTTCCTTTAGTGTCTCATTTGTTTTAGTTACTTTTCCATATTTGTGATTTTCCAGCGTATAAGCATTCAGGTTTTGCTACTTCTTTGAGTCAACATTTGCTTATGAAGGCTCTTATATTACATAAATTTGTATACTTTTCTCCTGTTAATCTGTCTTATGTCAATCTAACTCTCAGACCCAGCTGGATACCCTAAACAGGTAAAGGTAAAGATTTTGCCTCCCCTCTACCCTACCAAAAGTGTAATGAGAAAATTAAATATGATTATATGGATAAAGCACTGGACACATTATGGATTCACAATAAAGGATAGTTTTCTCTTCTTTATCCCAGCATGCAGACTGCCAGCAGCCAAAGGGGAGAGGAAATCTTCTTAAGGAGTTAACAGATATATCATAACTGACAGTTGTTATCTCATGTAATGCATTGTTTGGGGGTCATTGAAAAATGTTCTGGGAAGTGTTCACAGTGACAGTTCTACATGTCAGTGAAATAGCAAATATCACAAACGTATTCCGTGACCTTTAGTGAAGGTTGAAAGAGGTTTTGAAAATGTAATTTAGGAGGACTTTTCTGAAAAGGAGAAAGATAGCATTGCACAAATAAGCGGCTTTCCTAAATGCCTGATTTAATCAAATAATAACATTCAGAATTTATATTTCTTAAATAAAATACTTCTCAAGAAGGGTTTTCAATGGAAGAAGCACAGTGGATTTAACTAGGTGGTGTCTCCCCTTTCTTTCCTTGTGCAAAGGTACTGACATGTGGCATAGCTCATAAGCAGAGATTACAGAGAAGGAGGTGGTAGGGTTGAGGTTACAAATCCCTTCTTATTGGAAATCAGTGGTTTAGGAAAGTTGAACACTGACCCAGAAAACCCTTGATGGTTATATGGATAGTGACAGGCTGACATGCTGAAAGAGAACATCAGTTTCAGTGACTATCCAATTTGGTGACTTTCAACAACATGAATTTGGTATAAGAGGATTTAGTTCTAAGGACTTGTGGGGCTAATAGGCAAATTAATCATAGATGAACAGGAGCATAGCATTTCTTGTGTAAGCCTGGCTCTTCTTATCTATGATCTTCATTTATCTATACTTTTTATGCTGTCCTACAATAAAATTTTAAAAATAATAACAAATACAAAAAAAGTAATAAATGATAAAAATTCTAACATAGAAGTTAGATTAAAATAAAGCTTAAGTGTTAGGAAATTCAGTTAGAAAAGAGTTAAGAAAAAAGAATTAAATAGTTCCCAATTGCATAACAGATGACATTTTAGACTTGACTAAGGTCAAATAAAATGATTTTTAAACTGGGAAACATTTTGACAAAATTACATGATGAATAGAGTAACATTATGCAAAATAAATTAAAGATAAAAATACATAAATTTTAAATAATTAAAATAATACAAGACAAAATGAATAGTCAGCAGAATTATTTGCCATATTTATTTATTTTTTGTTTTTGTTTTTATTTGTTTTTGAAACGGAGTCTCGCTTTGTCACCAGGCTGGTGTGTAGTGGCTCAATCTTGGTTCACTGCAACCTCCGACTCCTGGGTTCAAGTGATTCTCCTGCCTCAGCCTTCCAAGTAGCTGGGATTACAGGTGTGCACCACCACGCCTGGCTAATTTTGTATTTTTAGTAGAAGTGGGGTCCTGATCTCCCCACCTCATGATCCGCCCGCCTTGGCCTCCCAAAATTCTAGGATTGCAGGCGTGAGCCACCACTCCTGGCCTGCCATATTTATTTTTTAAGTAAACTTTATGAAGAGATAAACAATAGTTTTTCTCCCATTTTTAGACAGCAGCAACTATCAGTTCTAAAAAGAAAAATAATATTTGTACTTTTTTGAATAAAATAAGGCACTGTGAATTTTAAATCAATTTCTGTGAGATTCTAAACAACTTTTTCTTTTCTGTGCATGATTCACCATAATAAAGTGAATAAAACCATAAATGGCAATATGGTGTAGCCTGCAGAACAATGATATGTGTCATTCATTTCTTCATTTTACAAATATTTACTGTGTGGTTTCTAAGCACCAGGCCAGCTGCTAGGCTCTGGGAATCCAGCAGCAACTAAATAAACGTGACATCCATACTTCTACAGCATAGATTTATTATATTGAGGAAGATTGATAATCAGTTTAACAAATGCTACATAATAGCACATAACTTAAATAATAATAAACCAGAAAAAGATCACATAAATGCCAAACAAAACATAACTGAGAGTGATATGGTTGGCAGAGTAACTGGGTGTCCAGAGAAGTCCTCTAAGAGATCATACTTGCATGAACTCTAATTGACATTTGGACTGGTGTCTGACTCAAGGAAATAGAATTCTAGGCAGAGAGAATAGCTGGTAAGAAGTACCTGTGGCTGAAATGAGCTTGTCTGTGCTTCAAGAACAGAAAAAAGGGCACTATAGCTGATCTTTAGTGGGCAGTGGTTGAAATATTAGACTGGATCAGATTATACTGGACCTGTAACCAGGACTGTGGACTAGATTTTATTCCAAGTGAAATCGGACTTTGTTAAATAGCGCAGGGTCTTCCTGCCTGGGCAGGATTTTGACCTGAACATAAATCATTATTCTCAGTCTGGCCATAACACTGTACATTTGCAAAATCTTTATTCTCAGTCTGGCCATACACTGTACATTTGCAAATGGGCATGGACATTGATGGCAATGTGTAGTACCTGGTGCATGGTTTTAGACATTCATCCTGTGTCATTATATATGAAGAAGAACCCTAAAACATTCCATGGAGCTTTAAAAAGTATATAACCTTTTAAAGAAAGCTCATTTTAAAAGCATAGACTGCATTCTCTAAATTTCATTAGATATGTTGATGTTTTGGGGAGCATAGACTTTTATTTCCTAGATTTCGCATCACTAGCATTGTAAATGCAAGGTTTGTTCTAATATTTTGTTTTGTCTTTTATAAACATATCAGTTTACCTTTTACTCTGGAATGTATTTGTCTTTATTTTACCATGGCATAGCTGTTTAAATTGCTGGCAAGAAGCAGACAAATGTAGTAGTTAGCAGCTTTGATTCTGCAATAAGAGACCGGAGTTCACTGGCCAGCTGTGCGGGCATGTGAATGTTACATACTAACAGTGGTAAAATGAGAATTTTAATTGCAGGGGTCTGCAAAGGATATTGCTTGTGGGCCGAGTGTGACTGCTGCCTGTTTTTGTAAATAACGTTTTATTGAAATATAGCCACGCCCATTCCTTTACATGTTGCCCATGTCCTCTTTCTCCCTACCACAACTGAGTTGAGTCATGCAACACTGAGACCTTACCTGGCCTTGAAGTCTAAAATGTTTTTTTCTAGCTCTGTACAAAAAAGTGTGCCAATCTCTATTATTATGTGCACCTTTGAGGGTTATTGTGGGAATTACATGAAATAATTCATGCAAAGCACTCAGTACAAGGCCTGCCATTTGTTTAGTAAGCATTCAATATATATTTGTAAGTATTAGAATTTTTACACATTCATTTTTTACTGTCAAATAATCAGGTCAAATTGTCATAAATATGCACTGTTACGTGTGTATCTTTAGAGATAAAGCACCCAAGCTTGAGGAGTATTTTTTTAAAGTAGCCATATTTTAGTGACACTTGGCCATTTCTGCATTAATAACATGCCTGGATGTTGGAACTTCTATTTTGGCCACTAGTTTATCCTTGATTCGGATATTATAAATTATATATATGTAAAAATTTTTGGTTATATTACAGCAATATGGGTAGATTGTTAAATTAATCATTGCAGAGCCCTTTGAAAATCTAGGCAGCAATGTGCAAATGCAAAATTTATAACTGGAGCAAACAAAAAGAAGCTGATGATTCCTTAAGGATACTGATGTTTTTGTGGTTTCTTCCTTTTGTTGTCGTCACCAGAGAATTATATTACATTTGGGGAAATTTTCAATATTTAATCATAAGCATTTTTATTCCAATGTAGGCCATACATTCACCAATATGAACTTACTCTCACTAGAGGCTGGCCATATTTCTTTTTTGATTTAAAAAAAATCGAGGTATATGTTTGCATGAATGCCCATGTGTGTTAAAACTTGTAATAAACAATGAGGAAAGGCGATCAGTGAAGAGTTTAATGATTCTACTTCTTGTAGTGTTAAACATGTTCTGAAAGGTCTAAGAGAAATTGTAAGCTGTGGGGGGAAAGGAAGAAAAGAAGAGGAAAATCTATTTATTTGAACATTTCAATTAAATAATTTCCTATTTAAGTTGTCCTCATGAAAATACGACCTTTGTAGGTTTCCAAAAAGTATCATAATCTTTGCTTATGTGCCTTTATTTTAGTGAAGAGTTTCGTTGTTCTTAATTTTCCAGTTCCATTTCCAATGACTATGAAAACATTATTAACTTTATATATTACTTTTTAATTTGTTTATTTTTACTGCTTCAGAGTTAATGTTGTATTTAAAAGATAAATTAATCCTAGCAATTTGGGACACCAAGGTAGGCAGATTGCTTGAGTCCAGGAGTTCGAGACCAGGCTAGGAAACATGACAAAACCCTTCCTCTACACAAAATACAAAAATTAGCCTGGCATCGTGGTGCACTCCTGTCATCCCGGCTACTTGGGGGCTGAGGTGAGAGGATAACTTGAGCCCAGGAGGTCCAGGATGTAGTGAGATGAGATGGTGCCACTGCACGTCAGCCTGGGCTAGAAAGTGAGATCCTTTCTCAGAAAAAAAAAAAAAAAAGTTAATGTTTTATTATGTGAGTGTCTTAGATTTCTATGTACATTATTTAGTTCAGGTCAGTTTGTTTAAAACTAACATAAAGATATGGTTCTTAACATTTAGACAATAATTTATGATTACGTTGGGGAAACAGGACTTACTTGCATGAACCAGTTTGTCTCGTTGTCTCTCACATGACATTCACATAAGAAATAAGATTTTGTGAACCTTGTGCTGGGCTTTCAATTGAGATTGTGGGATGCGGTGCTGGTTGAATTTGGTTTTGTAATATTTTTGAGTGTGGATGTCATTTTTTTTCAGGCCATTAGTCTATCATTGTCTAAGGCACATTTGGTGTCATAAACTTTGTGTCTGTATTCTAGTAGAATATAGTAAAATTATTCAAATTCGTCTGTATGCTAAAATTCAGAAATGTTAATGTTGAATTAATTTTTCAGTTTTATTTTAAATTTATAGGCCAGACATAGTGGCACACGCTTGTAATCCCAGCACTTTGGGAGGCTAAGGTGGGTGGATCACTTGAGGTCAGAAGTTCAATACCAGCCTGGCCAACATGGTGAAACCCTGTCTCTACTAAAAATACAAAAAATTAGCTGGGCATGGTGGTGGGCACCTGTAATCCCAGCTGTTCGGGAGGCTGAGGCAAGAGAATCGCTTGAACCCGGGAGGCAGAGGTTGCAGCCAAGATGGTGCCACCGCACTCCAGCCTGGGTGACAGAGAGAGACTGTCTCAAAATAAAAAAAATTTAAATTTATAAAAATATATAAGATGGAGATCAAATAATCCAGTATCCTCTTCAAAAATTATCACATTGACGTTCAGAGAGATTATCTGTTTATATACTGATTTTTGCAAAATTGGCTAGAACATAATTTTCTTGACTTCTAATTCAGTGTTATTTCATTGTGTATTAGAAATGCTTAATTTTCATTAAGTGAAGGATAACATAATTTTCTCACAAAATTCATCAAGACAGAGTACCTGATATCTTTATTTTTGCAAAATCATATATAAATATGTATACTTAATGAATTATAAGCAATTCCTAGAATTGCTTGACAGGCTTTTACATTTGCTTGTGCAATCAAGATTAAGAAGGAAGAGAGGCTAACAAAGAGGAAAGGGAGAGAGAAGAGGTTAGAAGAGGAAAAAGGAGGGAATGAGAATAAGAGACCGTATGGATAGCTAGTTTAGGAATAGAGGAGCCACAGGGAGTAAGGAGGGAAGAATGCATTCTCAAGGCAGAGAGTGAGGAGAGTCTGGGCTGAAGAGGGCAAGAATTGGGGCACGAGTCAGCCAAGAAAAGATGAGACTTGGTACGGAAGGAGTGTCGAGTGGGAAGTTCCTAGATGTGTTTGCTGCTAGAAAGACTGTCTCAGAAGTATTTTCTTAGAATAGAAAAATTCTGGAGAAATGTGATTAAAACAAGAAAGAATAGTTAAGCATTATGTAGGGAGTCAGTCACACAAAATGAACACATAAAGAAAAATGTCCTTTTCTTATTTCTTCTTCCTCTCTTCCTTTTGTTTCTGAATGTTTCTGTCCCTGTGAAATTTGTATGTTGGAATTCTAATCTCTAAGGTGATGATATTAGGAGGTGGGGTCTTTGGGAGGGCTTCACGCTCTGAATGGGTTTAATGCTCTTAGAAAAGGGACCCCAGAGAGCTCCCACACTCTCTTTCTACCATGTGAAGATACAGTGAGAAGTGGGCACTTTGCAAATCGTAAGATGATCCT